CAGCCCAAGAAAAGGTGAAGGACTGCTGAGTCACGGCTCTCAATCCAGAGGGTCTCTCCCCCACCTCGACACTAGAAGACACTGTTAAAAGGTCTCTCCCTTCCTGCAGGTTTTGGTTTAATTTTAAATTCCTCACCCCACTATTTGCTAGACAGCTCAGTCTTGCAACAACAAAATGAGGAATTCAGAAAGCAGAGCTTATCTTATGAACAACTGGGGAATGCAGAGCATTTGTGGAAGTGCATAAAATGAATTTTCCCAACCCATTGTATTTAAATCAAAGACTAAGAGAACAATCTGAATATGATTGGCAGGGATACCCAAGGGTGCTGGAACCATCCCAAGCAAAGATCTGGGCTCTTAATGTGCACCAGCCCCAGGAGAGGCGATCCAGTGTAGCCAACATCACTCCTAGTACAGCTTTCACATGCCCCTCAAATGCATCTTCGATCACACTGCGACAGACATCAACCTGATATTCCAAAAACCCTCTAAAACTCTTACCACAATTTGTGTGAACCAAACCTACCTGCTTCAAACTGTGCAAAGGAATCCGAGAGATGCCTTTTAAAAGGTGGCTTCGTATTTGTCTGGACTGTTGTCTGAAGGGGGACATTGGAGGTATTCCTGCTTTCCAACAAGCCCAAGTGAGTTCCAGAAAGTGTTCCCAAACTTCTGTTTTCATGGTCCAAAGCAAGAGCTCGAGACTGACCCGTCTTTCTGAATACATAGTTCGATTTCACAGCTATCATCTGATTAATGAGGCTGCCCTTCTCTACCTTGCCCTCATGACAAAGGCCATTTTGCCATTTTCCATTGTTGACGTTTGGATGCCCATTTGAGAGCACGGGTGAGCCTGTTCGAGAAGAAAGGTCTCCCTCAGGCACCGAATGAGACCGGCACCATTTCTCCGGGACACTTCTCGTGCTCTCACTTTTCGATGGTTGCTTCACAGCAGGATGTGGAGGATGCTCCTTCTTCAGCATTGTTGCAACTACAGCAGGAGCATCCAAAGAGAACGTTTTCCTGCCCAAATGGGTCTTTTGGGCCTGTGGACAATGAGAAAGTCCTTGATCGGGGACGGTGGGGCAAGGACCCGCCTCCAACACTGAAGGAGGTTCTACCACCCATTTTGCCTTCTCATTCTTTTCCACAGCCTGTTGGCTCTGAGTGTTTTTTTCAACATCATCACAGACTTGATACAGCAGGTCATCGTCATCGCAGTTGACGCCCCAAAGATTATCAGATTCACAATAGAAGTCTAAAACTTCATCTGGGAACTTGGGCTCGTTCCAGTTGTCAAACACAAACACCGTTTTCTTTGGTGCTTCCTTTGGCTTCAAAAGGTCAGAGCTGATTGCATCTGTTGTGCTCTTCAGACCACGGACTGTTATACTAGCAGAACTAGTGGGTAACTGGCAGTAAATATTGACCAGGTTACTTCCATATTTTCCTGTTTGAGTTTTAGGGAGATTAGGATGTAGCACAATAGGAAGAGCTCCTTTTTCAGATGAATTAGTCTTGGCAGGGCATTTAAGTTGAGTGAAGTTCTGCTGTATGCTCTGACTTTTAGGTTGCACTAAAACTGTATTATAGCCAGAAATTTTATTTGAGCTGTTTTTTGAGACTGACTTCTCAAATTCTAAAGGAACATCATTCATCTTGTCTATCCCAATGCTTTGCTTTGGTAAAGTAAGGGATGCTGGGACATTCTCAAAGGAATTCAACCCTCTGCCTTGGACAGCGTCCCTGGTTCTTTCCCGCATTTTAGCACTGTCATCAGAAGAACAAGGAAAAACATTTTCTGGAGTGCTGATCAGCTCAGGGTTCTGAGTAATCTGCATAAGGAAGGAATCATCTCCCCAGTCATCGAAGTCATCACCTACAATTCTCTCAAGCTTACTTGAGGCAGCCAGCTCAGCCTTAGAAGAGACTACACTGGGAGCGGCTTGTTCAGAAGGCACCTCAGCTTTTTTGGCGGGAAATAGTGCCACACTTTCTGTGAGAGCTGCTGTAGAGTTTTGCCCTTGAGGAGCATCTCTAGTCCCAGCTCCAGCAGCAGATGTGACCTGATCGGAAGCACATTCGTCCTGCATCACAATGTTCTGGTTTTGAAGGAAACTAGAGTTTGAAGAACAATTTGAAAGGCCCTGGCTCAATGGGTCGCTGCAAGCCTGGGTCGGGCCATCAAACAGTTCGTTAAGTGCTCCCTCAGCATCAAGATCTATGGGCTCCTGATTACTGTTTTCACAGTGTCCAAGTCTTCTACTGCTCTCCTCAATTACTTCACAAGGCACGGTAACATTAGTTGGCAGATGCTCTTCAAGGAATTGTCGCTGATTTTCTCTCTGTGCCTCGTCTTCACATTCAATAGACATTTCTGTCTCGGGTGCAACATGGTCAATACTGTGGCATGACGTATCTTGATCCTGGATTGCCTCAGTCAGGTTTTTATCAAATTGTTTTGCCAATTTCATAAGTTCCTCCTCTTTGTTTTTTAACTGGAGGCCTCTAAATTAAAAAGGAGAAGGAAAAATATATAAATTGTTACAGGAATTATTTAGAAATGCTTACTTATTTTATAATTACTCTAAAGTAGTGTACTATTAAAACAGGATTCTCAGATATAGAAATTAATAAAGTTACCACTAAATAATCCAACATATAGAATCCACTGAAACAGAACAAAGCTATTTTTAGAAAAAGACAAACAAAACTACCGTATAAGGATGGTGGATAATCTGTGGATTTCCAGATGTGATTGAATTGCAATCTTTTCATCCTTCACCACTGGCAACTGTCTAGGACAATTGGAGCACCACATGGTGCCCATCTGTGCCTTAGAGAAGCCAAATGTCTGCACCACCTTATTTATTTAGTTATTTAATATACTACCTCATTAGTGCAATGCACTATTCTGGGTAGTTTACATCAGTCATGAATAAAACAAATATTGTTAAACTTAAAATACATAAATACAGAACTCGAAAGTTAAAAACAGTTAACAAATAAAACATGTGGTGCCAGTAGAACGTTCACAGTGAAACAACAGGACAGGAGGCCAAAGTCAAGTAGGGTCCATGTGGAGGTCCTTCCTGAAAAGCAGTGTTTTAAGTTGCCTTCTAAAAGTTAACAGGAAGGGGGGGCAGGTGTAGTTCCACCTGCCTAAAAGAAAGCAGTTTTCACTAAATAATTAAAGGGAGAGAGGATGAGTAACCTCCAGCAACTGGGGTGTGTGTGTTCCAAAATCTGTCTACCTATGAAATGCAACAACTATCAAAGCTGGTAAGGTAAGAAGCATTTTTTAAAAAATCCTGAACCAAGAAACAATAGCTTTCTTCTTGATACACTGCAAAGGATATCTACAGATTGTGTGAATCTACAGATCATTCTGGAGAAAAAAAAACTATTCAACGTTAAAAACAACACAAAGTAACTTGTACCATACCTTGCACCATTCACTTTGGTCCTAGAGCGCACTTTTGTGATTCCAGGTGTACAAGGGATTGCGTCATCACCAATCCAAAGCCCAAGAAGGTTTCCTTCATAACAAGCTGGCTTATTATCCTGAATAAGAAGAATCACGGGTATCAACACTGTGGGTGTGATGAAGACCTGCCTAGCTACAAAATGCAACAACTATCAAAGCTGATAAGGAAAGAAACATTTTTTAAAAAATCTTGCTTTTCAGTTAAACAACCATCAGAGCAGCTACCATGGCTGAACAGGAAAAACTTACCATGAACAAATACAAGTCTCAGATAAAGTCAGATTTTCTTTTTCACAATAATGCCAAAGATATTTTTTAAAAAGCTCATATCCATTAAAAAAGGGGGGGGGGAAGGTAAGGACTGCTACAGAAATGACCATACCCATAAAACAGACTTATGTATCACACTCCAAATTCTGTTCTGAAGGCTACTCATCTACAAGGATACTTTCTCACTTACTTCAAATTAGCTACTGTAGAGCAAAGTCACTTGAAATGGGGATTAGAGAGTCTACTGTGCTATAATTCATTAATAAATTCTGGTCAATCTGCAGTGTGAGCCAAATTAATTGGTTTATCAAAGGCTAGAATGTGCAGCCAATTTTCCTCCCTTTTGAGATCTACCGAAAGCCTGAGTCAAAGTCCTCCTCAAGCCCTTTCTAAAACTTAAAAAAAAGGTGAGAGAGCACAAATTGCAGCTTCTGCTGCTTCAGTGCCAGCCAAGCCCTTTAAAATGCCATTTTTCACGAAGCTGCCTTGCTTTGGAAAACAATCATTGGTCTGCAAGAATCGCTGGAGAACTAAGCAGGAGCACTCCAGCTGGTCTCGCTAATATGGCCTAAATTGAAAAGGAGCCAATTTATATTTGTGGTAGCATCAGCTCAATAAAAGCACCTGTGATTACGACAAGCTGCGCAAAGACAGTCAACCTCGACTTATGAACTGAATCCGTTCTGGAAGGAGGCTCATACGTCAAAAAGTTCGGAAGTCGAAGTATCATGTGCCATTGAAATGCATGGGAACAGAATTAATTTGCTCCAGCATTTCCAAAAATAAAAATAAAAAAATAAAAATAAACAGAGCAAGTCCCATGTTGGGACTGCAAAAAAGAAAAGAAAAAGAAAAAAAAACATAATCCCCCCAGTCCAAACCCAATCAGAAAAGTTTTTTAAAAAGGACTTACCAGTCCGAAGCCTCCTAGCGCTCCGCTGCCTCCACCACAGCCAGCGAGTGAGCGGCCAAGTGCCCGGCCAGCTGACCGCTGCCTCCAATCGCGGCGGCAGGGGACCCCCAGGAGGTCTCCGATGGCGGCGGGAGAGGGCTCCCAGGGCTTCCCTGCCACCACGGGAGACCTCCCAGGGAGTCCCTGCCACCACAATCGGCACCTTCGGAGGTCTCAAAGGGGTTTCCCCCCGACATCGCAGGATGCTGTTTGAGACCTCCGAAGGCAAAAAGGCAGGGAGAAAGGAAGGGAAATTCAAATTTCCTATAATTGCCAGGTAATTCGAATCAGAAAGTCCTTTGACACCTCTGAAGGCGCCGATCGCTCCATTCGCAAAAAATGGCATTGACTTGTGAACGGAGCCTTGACCTCGTTCGTAGTTCGAGGCTCCGTTCGCAAGTTGATGCCAATTTTTACTAACGAAGCTGTTCATAAATCAAAACAGTCGTATGTAGGGACGTTCGTAAGTCGAGGTCCCACTGTATGATTTATCTTCCTCTCAGACAGCTTTTTACCATGTCAATGTTGGGACACTCCACTGCATTTTAATGTACTATTAAGGAAGCAACAACTCCCCCAACTTCATGTTCTGCTGAAGCCAGCCACCTGCAGAAATGAAAAAGTCTGTCAAGACTCTTCATCTGAAGAAGCAATTAATTACCTGAGGAGCAATCCGATTAACAATTTCTGAAATCTCAACCGTACATCCATGCCGTACTGTATGCTTCCTTCGTCCATTCTCTGAAAAGGGGTGGGGGAGACATTTTTTAGTAGTGTTTCCCAAAGTCAGAAGCAGATCAAAGCCTCAAAATGAGTAGCAATGCCACTTGCTTTTCAAAACTATTCCTAATCTAAGTAGATAATTTTAATATTCTTTTTTTAAAAATCACATAAACGGTATTCACTTAAAATGCTCCTTTCAAAACAAGAGGATACTCTGAGGATAGATGTTGCCAATTTCTCAAACAACAAAAGGAATATGCATGTTAAAAAGGCATAAGACAATCTAAAGGCCAACGACATACCAGTTCAACTTGATAAGACATTCAATTTTAATTTGGAACACCTGCCATTCAGACTCCATTTGTTGTTGTTTAGTCGTGTCCAACTCTTTGTGACCCCATGGACCAGAGCACGACAGGCCATCCTGTCTTCCACTGCCTCCTGGAGTTGTGTCGAATTCATGTTGGTCGCTTCAATGATACTGTCCATACATCTTGTCCTCTGTCGTCCCCTTCTCCTCTTGCCGTCACACTTTCCCAGACTCCATTACCAAACATGAATAATATTACTTGGTTTAGCCCCACAATAGTGACATCAAATTAAACTACTTGGTCTTCATTCTTCCTTGATCTGTCACCCATGAAGGTTTGGTTCAATTGCTAGAACAGAAATATTTATTTTCTGTTCCCTCAGTACTTATGGCCCTTTTGTCTTTTCCTTTTTTCCTCTACTAGAACAACCAGGGTAGCTTAAAAAGGAAACAATGGCTGAAATTCTAGTTCTTAAGTATAGTAAGTTGCAACTAGAATATAACTAAATGAATAAAACTTAGAGAAGAGGTGACTCACCAAATACCCATGATTCAAGAGGGAAATCGGAACTCTCTAGGAGAAGAGGTGACTCACCAAATACCCATGAGTCAAATGGGAAATCGGAACTCAGCAGCCAGATGTCTAAACAACTGAGTTATAAATGGTATATAGAAGCTACAAGTTCTCTACTTTGCCCTTTTAAGAAAGAACTCCAGAATTCTCTCCAGAATTCCCACATTCATTCCCCTCCCTGTGGCTGCCTAAGGATCAAAATTTTCAGTCTGTGACTTAGCCCTGCCATTGGATTTCCCCATTTGTACAAATGCTCCAGAGAGAAATAGAAGCAAGTATCTAAAAGAATCCAGTGCAGCTCAAGCACCAACCTGTATGCCTTTATTTGGCCAGACCTGGGAGGATGGTTCTGTGCACATTTCTATTTCGAACATTAGCAGTTATAGGCAAATTATCCTGTGAGAATGTTCTACTGTCAAGACATCTTGATGTCTTATCATCAAGGCACCTTAATGCCCCCATACTTGCTAGCCACATACTCATATTTCAAAGTGGGTTCATGCTAAGACAAGCATTTATGAAAGTCCTTAAGGACTGTCGCATGAATCTGGGTATCAGCATACCCATATTCATGTTTTAGGAACTTCAGACCTTAAACTCACATTTCAGAAGATAAATTGCTTTCTAACAGGAAAGTGGCAAGCAAAGATCATCATCAATAAACGGTTACCTAGCTGATGTGCAATTGGAGAGTGGGGATCCCAGAAAATCTCTTGCTGTCCATCATTTTCATTCACAGGAGAACTGAATGTTGGCAAGCAGGTTCTCCTGGCCTGTCTTCTCTTTGGGGTCTTATATGAGCAAGTTTCTGACAAGACAAGATCTATTTTAAAAAACAAGCAGAACTGTTGGAAGAAATGGCACTACATGGACATTTGCATTGTCTTAACATCAATAAATGACCATTTCTGGGGAAGACAAATCTCAGAAAACATATTTATGATATAAGAAACTGTGTCATATCAGATTTTACCATTGGTCTATGGAACTCTATACTCTTTATGCTGACCAGAGACAGATCTCCAGGTATTCAGTCTTTGCCATCCTATCTGGAGGACAATGAGTCTGGATGGTGTACTGTACTGGATAGAGCAATGGACTAGACTTCAGGAGTCTCGTGAGACCTGAATTCAAATCCTTGCTCAGCCATGGAAACTCACTGGAAGGGTAGCAATGGTAAAACACAATGGAATTTAAAAAAAAACTATTAAGGCCACTATAATTCAAAAGTGATTTGACAGCACATCATAAATCTGAAGATTCCAGTTAATGAACTTGGGATCTTCTGAATACAAAAGCAAATGCAGAGTCATTTAAGATGAGGAAAGAGGTGAGGAAAGAAGACAAGCAAAGTCACTACAAGCTCTGCTAAGAAACCAGGTTCATCAGGCTTGACTTCTCCTCTATCTATCACACAAAAACCAGTCATGAAATGATAGAGGGCCAAGTACATCAGCTCAGCTAAGGGACCAGCAAGTCAAGGCTCCTACTCAACTACTGTTATTTCCATTCCGGCTGACTGTAATAAAAATAGTACTTAGGAACAGGTGCTTCAGTTTGTTCCTTCCGGTCCCTACTTCCAAGCATCTCTCCTTTTTGTTTATGTCTTTTGGATTATAAATCCAAAAAAAAGGGGGGTACCTTCTGAGGATGTGGAGCTTTATGTAATCAACACTTTAAAGCAAGGGTCTCAAACATGCGGCCCAGGGGCTATTTGCGGCCCCCCAGGTGATTAGTTTGTGGCCCTCGCCTTGCCTGCCCCCCAAAGCGCCCACACATCCTCTGCTGTCAAGAGTAAAAAAAAGCCTTGCCTCGCTCGCCGTCTCTCTCCCAAGACAGCACCTCTTGCACCCTCCATCCAGAACTGCAGCCTGCCAGCCGGCCCACCTGTCTGTCAGCTAAGGAAACTTCTGGGCGTCTTCTTCGGGCTCTTGCTCCGCTTGGCGGAAAATCTGATGCGGCCCAGCCTCATCCAGACTCTGCCTCTAGTGGCCCCCAGGTAAACTGAGTTTTAAAACCCCTGCTTTAAAGCCTGTTATCTGTGTTAATAATGTTACTGTAAGTCTGAAAGTTTATTATCTGTGTTTGTTTCCTTGCTCATCTGGTCCTCGTTCCCATAACTATGTATCTAAACTGGGTGACTGAATAATTATATTCTGTGTGCCCAAGAAAATGGATTGTGATTCATGAAAATTCCCATGAAAATAAATCTGTCTCAAAAATGACACAATACTTTTGTTTTTAGTTGGAAAGGAGAGCTATCTGGCTGTCACATCTATCACCTGATTGCCAGGTTGGTTCAGCTGATCTGGCTGGCTAAGCCAGAGTCCCCTTCTTCCATCTCTCCTCCATGTGCCTCTCTCCTGAAGTGCACACTTGATAGAAGACGGCAAGTTTTTAGTTTATTTTTTGTTAATATTACACAAGAGTGTTGTTATTAGGACAGACAATCATGCTGGTCAGGGTTTAGAGAGATGATCTTATCTTAAGGTTTTTATCATTTGCTCATTCTCTTAGGATGCAATGCCAAAGACAGCTCTGTGGGCTCCCAAAATGGGTTGCAACTGTTTCAGTACCTAAAATCAGCTTCAGTCTTGTCAACATAAAGACCAGTGACTGTTAAGAACTTAAGGACAGACTAACTACTTATTCTTCATAATATAAAGGGACAATTATTGGGGACTGTATTTCCAGAGAGAGAATGCATGCATATTGACTTTTATTATTTTTTCCTATGCCCAGCAAGCCTTGAGCCACTCAAGGCAAAATGCAGTACCCAATGAGCTCAATTTGAGAGTTTGCAGACCCGTCCTCACAACTACATTTTAACACATCATACAAGGAAGAAAGATATAAAGGCCGAAAAAAACGTTATCCAGATGTTGGGACTTTTTCCATAAGCCAAAGAAGGATCATGCCACCCTACAGATTGGACAGAAAGTCAGCAATCCCAAAATACTTTCTAATACTTACTGGGTCACATAAAAGAAAGTTACTGGAGCCTGGGAGACCCATGAGAATACTCCAGAGTCCCTGCTTGTTAAGTGAGGGGGGGAAAAAGAGTAACAAAAGGGAGAGCCAGAGGAAGATGCCGTCTTGGATCCTCTCCCAATTCAATGAGGGGGTCTAGGCAGGATTCAAAATCCTACATTACAGTAATTCATTCATTCCATTTCTGTATTAACCATCTGACCAATGGTCACTCTGGGCGGGGTACGACAATAACCCATACAAGCAAGTGAGCAGAAAAACCCTAAAATGAACATAACGGAAAATTAAATGCGAAGTTTAAAAGAGGCGGTGATTATAAATGTTAAGATTAACAGTCTCAGCCGACTATTAAGACGACCTGTTTTGGGCTTCCCTGAACGGCATCCCATAATTACTGAACACACCATTTCCAACGATGGCCATTACAGCCAAGAACGGGGTCGCTTACTCGAGAGTAAATCCCGCTGGCCAAGTACAAATTACGGTTGCATGGACGGCTGTTTTGTTAGGACGAAGGAGGCGGACGACCCACATTTGGGGGGGTGGGGGTAACGGGAGGGAGGGAATGAAGTACCTGCAGGAAGCCGAGGGGAAAGGGGGGGCTCCCCCGGGGGCTCCCCCTTCGTTTCGCTTTGGATGCAGGGACTCTCGGCATCTTGGGCACTCGCGGGATAATGGCCGACCCCCCGCCGCCTGCTGCTCCGTCTCGCCGGACTCTTAGAGGAGCTTCTCTCCGCGCCCGCTGTCGCCGCCGCCTTCCGCCGCCTGCTCGCCATATAAGATTCCCGCGGCTACATTCCACCCGCCGGCTCACCCGCTCACAACGCCGCCATCTTGCCCAACGTTGGAAATCGCCCCCTGATTGGCTGAAACTTGTTCTCCGGCAGCCGGGATTGGTCGCGTTCAGTCAAGGAGGAGGAGGCGGGGACAGAGGGGGCGTGCGTCTATAATAGCGGTGGGCGTAAATTGTAACAATGCGGATTTCGCTCTGTGTGGGAGTTAGTCTGATGTATTAATAGAAATGAGGTCTATGAAACATGATGCGCATCTATATTCTCTATACTTATACAGAGCTAGTGGATCACTCCGGGCCACTAAACCAGTGGTTCTTAACCTTGGGTTACTCAGGTGTTTTTGAACTGCAACTCCCAGAAACCCCAGCCAGTACGGCTGGTGGTGAAGGCTTCTGGGAGTTGCAGTCCAAAAACACCTGAGTAGTAACCCAAATTTAAGAACCACTGAAAACAACAGTGAGTAACCCAAGGTTAAGAACCACTGAAAACAACAGCGGCGGCTTTTTATTCCGTTTTGCTTCTTGATTTCATCAGAATTGCAAAGTATCAGATACTGGAACAACTTCGTTGTAAAACCTTTTTTCTTATTTGTTTTTCTGCTTAGAAGAACAAAGGGAGAAGAAGAAAAAATTCACATCAGAGTTGTCCCAGTATCAGATGCTTCCTAATTTACTCTGTGAAATTTGGTGCTTTCTCTGAAGCTTTTTTCAGTTCTAAAGCTGTGGTAACAGGCTTTTCTGCAAGGTGCTCTCTTCCTGTTTGTACCCTGCCTTTCTCTTTAAAAAGGACCCAAAGTGGCTTACATTATTAAAAGAAAATATTGAAACCTCAAAAGAGTATGTATGTAAAAAAAGGATCAAGCAAATACCACACACAAAACCCTTAACCTTTGTTACTCTGATGTTTTTGAGCTGCACCTCCCAGAAACCCCAGCCAGCACAGTTGGTGGTGAAGGCTTCTGGGAGTTGCAGTCCAAAACTCCTGAGTAACCCAAGGTTAAGAACCAGTGGCTTATATTAAAAGAAAATATTGAAACCTAAAAAGAGTATGTATGTAAAAAAGGATCAAGCAAATACCACACAAAAAATCAGTAAACAAAACCAACATCAAAAACACATTCAAAGGAGCAACAGGGCACATAGAATTGCAGATGGTGGTGTTGAGAAATGTGGATATTAACCACACAAAAAATCAGTAAACAAAACCAACATCAAAAACACATTCAAAGGTGCAAGGCATAGAGAATTGCAGATGGTGGTGCTGAGAAATGTGGATATTTTTGCTAAAATGTCAGTGGTTTTCTGGGCAAATCATTACACAATAACTGAAAATATTGCAATGTTTGCTTCTGGGTGATCTCTTGCTCTTTCTGGTCCTCCTAGTGTGACATTTGAATTCATGACCTGGCTGGCCATTGAAAGATGCTGTTGAACTAACCAAAAGGATTGGAGTGTTAAATGTTCATTACAGTTTTGCTTCTCACTGTACAATAGTTTGTGTCAATACAGTACTAATTTTATTCAGTTGAAGTGTACAGATGGAGATGGGAAGGGCTTTGTGGTTCATCGACAGAGATCATGCTTCTTCAGACAGGCAGCCCTTGGTATAATCTCCACTGTTTCTAGCTTGTGCCAGAAATAATTCTGTGTAAAATCTCAGAGAACTGCTGTCAAGAAGGGGAAGCTGGGCTGGAGCTCGGCCTAGCTAAGCCTCAAAGCCTTCCAGGTGAAGCCGTTCTCCCAGATCACTTACGTCTAGGTATCTATAAGGTACTGTATCTCTCTGACAGATATAAATCCTCAAGTGGAGAATCACAGGACTTGTAGTCAAAGAATTCCAAAAATCCCATCCATACTGACTGATAATCAAAAATAAACATTGACCAAACGGTAGAAACGAAGGAAGCTGCTTTATACTGAGTCAGTAGCATTGACTGGCAGCAGTTGTCCAAGATTTTAGACAATATATTTTCTATTCTTTCAGTCATGTTTACATCTCACCTTTTCCTCTACAGCTCAAGACAATCTGTGTAGTTCTCCTGGCAAGGTCATCAGGTGGTGGGTTTCAGGGTTCTCAGTGAGAACTTGAATGTCCCAAGTCCCAGATCAAGACTCTAACCACTACACTACACTGCCTCTCTGTGTAGGTGTAGCCTTCTTTGGGTATGTGAGGTGCATGGCGCCCCCCTTCCATGGACCTAGAACCCAAAGATGTTCATTTATGTTGATTACGTTTTCTTTTTCCTGGAGTGCTGATTGACACCTCATTTTTAAAGGATTCACTGACAAGCAAGAGTGGCTCTTTCCAGAGTAAGGCAGATTTGTGAAAACTGCAATTTCTGTGTTCTCAGTGCAACTAATATCTAATTTCTAAAATGATAGAATAGAAATCAGCAAGCAGAATGGAAAGCTGCAGCAGTCAACTTAAGGGACTAGCATAACATTGATTTGTATTTTATTTAACAATTTCTTATGGACATCTGCAAGAGAAGTATATTTATTATGATTATTATTAAAGAACTGTTGCATGCCATTGCATCATATAAGTCAGTCAGTGCCAAACTTCAGCATTGCAGATGTGATGTTCTCTGTGTTATATGCCATCATCAGAAACGACTTGTAGCAACCCTCATAGGGCTTTCAAACAGGAGTGGCTTTGCCAGTTTCACACTCTCTGCCCCCTATGTTCTCATGGCTGACAGGAATTTCAAGGTAGGTCTCTTGAGTCCTAGCCCGCCACTCTATCCACTACATTACACTCAGTGTTGTGGGTGTGATACACTATGGTTATTATGATAGAAGTTTTGTTGTGTGATCCACCCAGCATTCTGATTGCAACATTTTAAAGAATCTTCAGAAGGCTATTTTATATGCTGAGAAACAGAGGGGTGTTTCCTCATGAAAACAGTTGTTCTGTTTTACTTTGTATAGTACAGACAATTGCTGCAGGGCCTAGTAAAGTATCATTTAGTCACAGTGCACATTAAAGCAATGTGTTCTTTCCATCCAAAGAAAAACAGAGTCCCCTGATGGCAGCTTTGTGTATTAAGGAAACACGTGGAATGATGCATTTGTGAGGGGCTGGGGTCCAGGCATTTTGAAAGAGGAATTTGACCGTGGCAAAGTGGTCAAGTGACAATAACCGTGCCCATCATAGAATCGTCGTTGGGTTGGAAGGGACCTTGGAGATCTTCTAGTCCAACCCCCTGCCCAAGGCAGGAGACCTCATACCATCCCGGACAAAAGGCTGTCCAATCTTTTCTTGAAAACCTCCAGCAATGGGGCACCCATAACATCAGGAGGCAAGTTGTTCCACTTCTTAATGGTTCTCAATGTCAGGAAATTCCTCCTTAATTCCTGGTTGGATCTCCATCTGATGAGTTTCCACCCACTGGTTCTTGTCCAACCCCCAGGCGCAATGGAGAATAAATCGATGCTCCCTTCCCTGGGGCAACCCTTCAGATATTGGAAGACTGCTATCATTCTTCTCTTTGTTGAGCTAAACATATCTAGGTTTTTTAAGTCATTCTTCATAGGATTTAGCCTCCAGTCCCCTTATCATCTTTGTTGCTCTTCTCTGCACCCCTTCCAGGGCTTCAGCATCTTTTTTGTATTGGGGTGACCAGAACTGGATACAGCACCCCATGTGCGGCCTCACCAGTATGGTGAGGCTGCATGTAAGAATTAACCTTAAATGAGTTTCTCCCCATATTCTGGACTCTGTAATGAGCTTCCTGTTAAGTGGAGCAGATGGTTTGAGAATATTTCACTTTCCCATTTTTCAGTTTCCCAATATGGTAGACTAGAGCGCTGGTTCTTAACCTTGGGTTACTTAGGAGTTTTGGACTGCAACTCCCAGAAGCCTTCACCACCAGCTGTCCTGACTGGGGTTTCTGGGAGTTGCAGTTCAAAAGCATCCGAGTAACAAAGGTTAAGAACCACTAGACTAGAGTATTGCACAATTTGTGAAGTTTGAACCATTTATATTTCCTCCATCTACTCTGAGTCATGCCCCACGTCCCTTATTGATTTGCACTTAGGTGCGCCAATAAAAGATTGTCGACAAAATAAAAAGCAGTCTTGGTGATGAGATTCCCCACCACGAGGAACAGCTGTGTCAGTCTGTTAATGCAAAAAAAAGCCTGTGGAATCTCAAAGATGATCAAATTTCTGATGTCCTGAGATTGTATGGACTGTAGCCCACCTGTCAAATGCATTAAGTGTAACTCAGAATTTCATGTACATGTGCCACGAGCCATGTAAAAATAATTTGGTGGGCAGGTGCTAGGTAGCATTAATCAGAGAAGATTCCATGGAAAGCGAATGGGAAACTTGTTTTGCGTGGAATTTCTCCTGGTCAAAACTGCCTGTTAATATGAACACTTTTGAATGATAAAGATAAATAGATGGTGTCCTCACTAGTGGCTCTGTTGCCTTGACAATGGGTATCTGGATAAGGAGCCCAAGAGGAGTGGCAAAAAAGGGTGTGCCCAGATGGAAATCCTTGTCAGGGAAGCTGAGTGAGCAACTCCTGTTCACTTATTGTGACAGTTCTGTTCCCATCAGGTCCAAAATAACAACCCACACTTGTTGATGTATATGAAGTTAAAAGCAAGGCCTTAGGGCACCTGTGGCACTGTAAAGTACAGGGTTAGAAAATTCCTCTTGGTTTTACAAGCCTGCAGGTTGCCAGGGCATTACGTTAGGCACATAATGGAACAGGATGGAAAAAGTGGCTCTTAGCCAGGCATACCAAAATGATTAATTCTGCCCAATGACCTGTGAATCTCCAATGGCCAAACCCATTTCTAGAACAACATAAAAAGGGGAAATGTGCAAGCTTTGGAAAGGATTCTGATAGTCCAGGAGCCTTGCCCGATTTCACTTGCCTTCCTTTCTCTGCCTCTATCTTTGTCCTCGGGAGCCATGGCTCAGAAATCAGTCAGGGTTACTAGGAATTTTAGTGCCTCTTCGGCTGTTATCCCAGGTAACCGGACAAGCTTTAGCACCATTTCGGTAGCCCGGGGAGGTGGTGCAGGCTTTGGACATGCTGGTGGTGGTACCTTTGGCAGCAGAAGCCTCCATGGTTTTGGAGCAAGTAAAAGAATTTCCATGGGTGGCTATCACTCTGCCAGATCCGGATATGGCTATGGGATAGGTCATGGTGGCATTGGGTACAGAGTTGTCGGTGGTGGTGGGTATGGTCCAGGTGGCTTTGTACCTGGAGCTGGTGGCATCCATGAGGTAACCATCAACCCCAACCTCCTGGCTCCTCTCAACCTTGAGATCGACCCAACCATCCAGAAGGTGAGGAAAGAAGAGAAGGAACAGATTAAGACCCTCAACAACAAGTTTGCTTCCTTCATTGACAAGGTAAGTTTCCTTCTGATTCGTCTCCTAAAAATTTCCTGTGATCAAGATTAAGGATACCTAAGAGTTTTGTACAAGATTTTGTACGTCTGTTTCGAAGCAAAATGGATCACTTCCTGAACTCCTACTCAGGCTAGAAATGCTGCTGTCTTTCTAGTCATGTGCTTCTTCAAATCTTGTGATAACAGCTCTTGCCGCAGAAACAAATGAAAGTGTAAAGTTTATGAGAAAACCTGTTCCGAAATAATGTGAATGTGCAGTGGATTGGTGTGGAATTGGAATTAAGTGGATCTATGAAGCAACACAAATGGAAAAAAGTTACTTTTTTGAAGTACATCTCTCAGAATCCCCCATGCTAGCTGTAGTTGTAGTCTAAAAAGCAGCACAAACAAAAATGTTTCAAGAAATATATGCAGAAGTGACAAAGACTAAAAATAAATTTGCTGATTTTTTCTTTGCCAGTTTTTAACTAGCAAGAATACAGCTTGAAAGTCTAGTTGTCTCCTCATTCATTTTCTAGAAGTGAAGGTTTGCAAGTTTTCCTAGCATTCTGGCAGATGATATCAACATTTCAACTCTTAAAAGTTCCAAAACTGCTCTCCCCATGTTGCTTCTTCACTGTGTCCCAGAGCCTTCAGGTTAATAAACTAACAAAAGAAAAAACTAACAAAGCGAAAGTCATAGACAGAATGCTTACTTATACTTGTAACTCAAACACGGATTTGGCTTGAGTGTAATTATGTCTTGCATTTCCAAACAGTTTCCCTCTTACTGAGTGGTTAGCTTTGTCACTGACATCCTGTCTTGTTGAACCATGGTTTTCCGTGATGTCTCACCAGGAGACCGTGGTTTGAGGATCCGACAGCAATGGTTCCCCTGTCTGAACAGATTTATAGAAAGCAGTTCACTGGCATTCTGCGTGCATGTGTTTTCTTGTCCACACATTAACAGGAAGAAACATCTCCCTCTGGCCAGAGGAATAACTGCTGGCAATCTGAAGGATAGAAATGACCCCCCCAAAAATTCTAGTGCACATGTTTGAACATCAACAACATTTTTAAAGACAACAAAAGACAAAGCTGAGATAGGCAAAAGCAAAAATATTAACAAATTGTCCCAGGTAAATGGGCTCAGTTGGAATGTGTTTCCGCCTAGAGTGGTCCTGAGTTGGCTAGATAGGCGGGATATAAAATAAATAAAT